CAACAACATCAACAGCCACAACAACAACAGCAACATCAACAACATCAACAGCCACAACAACAACATCAACAGCCACAACAACAGCAACATCAACAACATCAACAGCCACAACAACAACAACAACATCAACAGCCACAACAACAACAGCAACATCAACAACATCAACAGCCACAACAACAACAACATCAACAGCCACAACAACAACAATCTGTCACAAAACAATTAACTAATGTCAAAGCAAATAGTCAAAGAAGAAACTCACATGCAATTTGATACAAGATGATCAAGTACTGAAGTCACCATGGCAACGAAGGCTTTGTCGTCAGGTGGGGTGGGTGCGTCCAAAGCTTTCTTTATTTGATTCAAAGGTTTTTGCTAAAAAACACAAAGCAGACATTACACTTCTAATAATTCAAAACATGCATTTTTGTCACTAGGTTTATGTTTAAAACGATGTTGATTCAGACGTTTCGGTCAAGACCTTCCTCAGTGAATGAAACAAGTTTTGCATTRCTCTCGAAATATAAAGAGAAGCTTCTTATAATGATTACGACCTTAGTAATACAATCTAATGAAGCTCTTTGACGCCAGAAGATAGTTTATTATTTCAATGAAATAATAATTCCAAGATAGGTCAGCAAGGACRTCTGGGTATTCATARAAAGRGAGAGGACTCGAACCCTGTCCACCACGCCATCATTATATCACTACTYACCAGTCTCTCACACAGACTTGTGAGGAGATTAAGAGGCTCCAGTCTGAATGCAATGTCTTCCCAGAAGCTTTCTACRCAAACCACGGGCTTTTCGTTTCCCCATGGGAGGTAGTGGTAGTGGCAACCGTCGTACACTGGGTTTGAAGGCGCGGTGTTGGCAGGRGCAACGGATTCGTCCATCTTGTTACCATAGTTACCAATGCTGACTTCAAACTCGACCGGCCCATCGACATCTTTCACCATTGTGGCGTCGTAGAAACATGCGAACAGTTTATACTTTTCTCGTCTTAAGAATGGCTAAAATATAGAACGTTAAACCGTATAACAGAGGCTATGATTGGATAATTGACTAAACTTAATAATTGTACTTTTGATTGCTTAAAAAAAACGAGCTGTGACTGGAAAATTCACAAACAACGACGCGTCATGATTCACGCTTGATTCACACCTAGGCCTATTTGCGAAAGGTTCATTACCTGGACACGAATACAATCATCGGTCTCTAGAGCTGTAACTTCATTCTCAATGTCGTCTGAACCCAGTGTTGTCTCTAGTTCAACGAGAGCTCGTCCWCGATACGCTACGCCTTCGCCCTATATGCCAGAAAGAAAATACAGAGAAAATACACTTWAGCTACAGAGATACAGATACTAGGATGGTATAATAACATGTCTTACAATTCCTTTATTCAAATCTTCATTCTGGTCAGGAAGTTCGCTAAATTCTCGCGGAGATCCATAAAAGTTGACAAAGCAAGGACCAAATGTTGGCGGGAATCCTGAGGAACACAACATTGGTTATTACTAGAACGCAAATAAAGTCTGTATCACTGAACGAACTGATCTCGATTATAGGTCATGTTTCGTGCCATACTGGTTAAAGCAACTAACAAGATAAGTCCAGAAGTTTAATATTATGATAAAATGATAATCTTTTTACCTTCATCGCCCTCCCCTGACATGGCTGACAGTGACAAGCACGCTGTGCCTATACAATCATCGTTACCAACTCTATCCCTGGAAAAAGTAAACAGAAATATATCAACAAATTCCTTCATTTTCCATAACATAAGCAGAAAGTCCCGGACTAATCAATCAGGTTAGCTTTTACGTCGAGTTTCACATTGCAAACTTCTTCTGTCTTTTGTTTCTGCTCAGTCATCTGACTGATTTTTATTGAATTCGTTTCATGAGAGTCGTCGTTTTAAGTCAGTAACTTACCAGTCGTACAACTGAAGCTTGACTCTTTCACACATTGATGGGAACTGAAAGGAATATTGATTATCAAGTTAATACTTCATATGTTAGGTTAATACAGCGATATATCGTACCATTAATGGAAGTTGCAGCATTTCTTTAAACTCAGGGGCGTCGTCCTGATATTTGATACTGGTGTCAACCTACAAACAGCAAAATTTACGTAGAAAAATGATTTTTTTTTATTGGTGATATTTTGCAATATTATCCAATGACCATCATCAGAAATTTGTCAGTTAGAATTGTTTCCTGATAGATTTGTTCAGAAGCACTAAATATATTTGGTTAGGAGACCAATTACGCTTTTCATTCAAAGAGGGGGATAAGAGATGTAGGGAGGGGCACCCGACACCGTTCACAAACAATTCGCAGTTGACTAGCGAATGATGGCATAGTTTTGTCAATAACTTACCTTTTTGCCGCAGAAACTTAACTTCACGTATGGGTCGACAAGACCTTTGGCRCCTTTCTCTTCTTCTTCCTAAATTATAAACCATTTTTTTTTTCAGGAATAACCGAATAATATAGCTKTATCATATCATGAATTACCTTTCCTCCTCCAAACAAGCCTTTAAAGAACTTCTTAATACTTCGTCCCATGCCAGTATCCACTGGAAATGAAAAAAAATGAATGAATGTTATACTGGGGACGATTGTAATAAATAGTGTGGATGGCGATGGTATGGCTTGGGATCCCTGTGACTTTGCGGTTCGATACTTACTTTGTGGTATGTCCTCGGCTTGATAGATCTTAATGCTGAATACAGCAGGCTGGCGAGACACACCCATCGGCATCAAACAGTTCCTGTTGAAACACAGAAAATACTCACAATCGTCAGTTTTGTGTCCAGTAATCATAGTTTGTGTCCAAAACCAACAAAAACATTTCAAAAACAGACTTACGACTCGATGTCATCCTCCTCGATGTCTTTTGGTGGATGTTTGGCTTTGGCCTGAATCAGATTGAAAGAGAAGACAAATATCAACAAAGTAATAACTGAAATGATAACGCTTGGTT